GAAAAATACATAGATAATCCAGAATTCAACTTTCAGGAATCATCACAAGATAAACAGAGACACCCAAACAAAACAGAAATTCTTCATCTGGACCAGAGTAGTGATGATTCCACTAGTCACAGAGATTAAATGATTCCCATTATAGGCACTGGCAATGCCATTTCTGGTCCTGTGTTATGGCCCAGTCTAACACCCAAAATTTGAGATCTGCTAGTGACCAATGGTCCACCAAAAGTAAAGGACATGGATATTCCTTTTGATGTGCAGAATCACCATTTTTCTATGACATTTTTATACAGAAATCTTGAAAATGGTAAAGTTCTAAAGTGGCGCTGGCTGCTTTACTTGGAGTCCACTGACAAGGTTTTCTGCTTCTGCTGCAAGCTCTTTGACTTAAACCCAAAGTCATCCCTAGCATTTGAGGGGTCAAATGATTGGAAGCACGTCTCAGATCCTTGTGCATCATGAAAGGTCACCTAGTCATTTCAGTTCCCACCGAACATGAGTCAAAGCAGAGCAAAGGATAAAACAGGATATGTTTTGTTCTCTGCCTCTTCATCGTTGGAAGATTTTCACAGAACACGTCAATGTCACTAATAATTCAATATGTGAACATTCTCGGAGTGCAGAACTGAAAGTGTTAAAGCCGTTTGAAACCAAACAGTTGAAGTCCATGTTGCCCACATTGCCTTGGCTGAGTTGGAGGAAGCAGATGCTGGTATCCATCATGAAGCGCTCACCCCAGCATGTCAATTTGCTGAATTCAAGGTTGTTGTCTCCACTGCAGTGGTACAATATTGTTTTTCAAGTCAATGTGGTGAGCAAAAGTATGAGAAGCAAGAAAAATATCAACATTGTTGCACTCACAAACTTGATGGATGCCTGTCCTAACTACATTGTAAACTATAGAGAAGTTGGGTAGGAGGAGCTCTCACAACAGCTAAGGAAATACCTGAAAATCTTGGTTTTGATCTAATTTTTAAAACCAGCCCCACACAATTGTCATAAAAAGCATCAATTCAGCTATGAATATGAAGAACTGTGAAGAACTTTGCTATCTCCGAAGTCTACTTCCAATGGACTATAGCACTCCTCAAGAAGTTCTGCAATTTATTTACAACAGTGAACTTCATGACAACATCCCAAACACATGGATAGCACTCACTATCTTGTTAACCATGCCTGTGTTGGTGGCAAACAGACCTTCTTGGAGTTGAAGCTCATAGAAACATATTTATGACCGACCAGGTGAGACAACTGGCTGTCTTTGCTGGTCACCCAGTCTGTTGAGAATGCTGTGGCTCAAAATATAGACCTGTCACAAGCAATATCAGAGTTTGCAGCAGCAAAGGCCTGCAGAGCTGTCTTCTGAGACTTGGAATCTTGGAGAACAAAAGTTGTTTTTGTAATTGTTATGTATTAGTTGAGTGTTTAATTTAATGTTTTGTTTATCTGTCACTTAGCTATAATGTTATTTTTTATGACGTTTATTATTTGAATAAAATTGAATTAATTGAATGTTGTCATTTCCACTTTTGTATCTTTTTTTAGTAAATTATAACACACTTTTGAGATTAGAGCTTTATTTCTGAAATGAAGGGGTGAAGGGAGTGGGTGCCAAAATACAAGGTCTCCCAGAGCACTGTTTTCCCTAAGGCTGGTTCTGATGAGCTGAACTTGTTCTTGTCAAGGTCTTTGGCATCCTTTTAGTTTAGTTAGGGCAATGTTTAGCAGGTTTGGCATATTGTGCCAAGCATATTAAAAAAGTCCATCAAAACTTTGGAAGGGGTAAAGAAAAGCTGATGACCGATATGCCTACTCTAGGCAAATCTGTTCTGTTTGAAAAGGCATTAGCTAGTATGTTTAGAAATCTGACCATGGGGGTACTGTAGACTGAGTTCAGCACTTTAAAATCTTGTGTTACTGATCATGGGTTACCCTAATTTGTACAAGGCTGCAGTGGCGTAAGAAACCGGTAATTCTGTTAATAAAAGTTGTGACTTACCTCTTTAATACAGGCAAACAAACCAAAAACTGTTTTGAAAGATTTTGGAGAATTCTAAATACCTGTATTAGAGGAAGTAAACTGAACTGGTTTATGGGATGTATTTTAGGTGATCTGAGAGAAGGAAATTGAAAAAAAAAACAACTAAGGAAAATAAACCCCCATTAGTAGATTTCCAAGAAAGACAGTCTCTTGTCACAAATGTATGTAGAGTGAAACTTCCTGTTGTCACAGTCCACCAGACCAGCCTGCCTACTGGGTAGAGCTGGGCATGGAGTGGCCGTTGTAGGGCTAAGAGTCAGAAGCCACAAATCAGGAGCCAAAATGCTAAGCCAAGGTCAGGAGCCAGGAATCAGAAACCTTTTTACCAAGTTTGAAGGATAATCTACAAGGTGAAGTCCAAGAGTAAGCCAGGCTGGGGTCAGGACTCAGGAGTCAGGTCTGTAAGGAGAATCCAGAGGCTGAAATCCAGTATGGCAATATCTCAGTCCCCATCCCTTTGGTACAGCCGCCAAATAAAAGCTGCCTAGTTTATGTTCCTTCTGATTTGTCAAAATTTCTTGTGTTGGTGATTTATCAGAAAAACCTCACCCAGGCACTCTACGCTGGAAACCTCCCCGCCTCAAAAACCCAAACAAACATGTTCCTAACTGGGGCTTGTAAGCCTGAGTTTGCGAACTTGGGTTAAAATGGCTGTGAGAACAAAGTAACTTGAGGCACAGACAGAAGTGACAATTTTCGTCCAATCTGGCCCCTGAAAATGCTCTACTGCCGTGACCAAACACAAGTGCACAGCTGTAGACCACTTTAAAAGGGCCCAATCCTGCGACAATCTGAGCTCTTGCATGAGGGTTCAGATGAAGACACTCCAAAATGGAGAGTCTTTGTAACGTGTGTCTGCATGTGCCAGGAGCAGGTCTTCTGGTGCTGTCTTTAGAATGGGAGGTGGGGCAGGGAGCAGAGGGAGTTCAGTCTGGGTTTTTTTTAGCTGGTGCTGGATTGTGTTGGCTGGAATGAGCTCCCTCTGTTCTCCTCCCTCGGCTAAAAACAACCCTGGGACTGGAAGTGGGCAGGGGCGTAGAGCAGCTGCAGGCTCGCAGCCACTCACAGCTGGATCCAAACCCCTGGGACCCAGCAGAAGCACCATGAGTTACAAAAGGGAGCTGCTCTTCTGTCTGTGCCTTTGGGTTTGAATGTAGGTTATTGTCTCGGGTTCAATCCCAGGCTCTCCAGGTATGAATTCCTAACCCAAATTATAAGTCACCTGACTTCATGGGTATTCTAACCTGAATTAACCAACCCAAATGAATTTTTTCCCCAGTGTAGCTGTACTGTAAATGGATATAGCATTTCTCCCAGGAGAAAGCCTTTGGCCTGGAGTCCTACAAACAGGGACAGGCTTGTACCTGTGAAGTATGAGACACAGAATGTGCTAACAGTTTTTCCCCTGGGACAATGGTGTGTATGGCTGTAACGTAATAGCACCTGGTTCTAGTTAATTGCCAGTCATTCCAGGGACAAGTTTGTCAAATTTCCTTCTCTCCTGGACTACCGTCTGTCAGAGGAGCTGCAGTACAGCTTGGAAGCTCTTTTGTCCTGGGCATTTACTCAAATCAATCAGAATCACCTCATATGAGACATCTGTTTACAGCCTGAAGCAGTCTGGTCAGGTGAACCTGACTGCTTCCACCTATAGAGTTTTAATTCATCCCTGTAGAAATGAGGTTAACAATACGTAGCTTTGTTTAGAAAATCCTTTGAGAATTCAAGGTGAAAAAGTGCTACATGTCTGCAAAGTATTATGCTATGCATCAAACAGCATCAGTATTCATTTGCTTTACAGTGCCACAGGTTCTGGTACCCAAGCTAGGTTAAATATCTCTGCATGACACTGCTCTGTAGACCTATCCAATATATTATAGCATAGAAAGGATCTAAAATACTGCTGATTTTATTTAATTTAAACTTCTTTTTTTAGGGTGGGGGGAAAGTCAACAAAACCAATTGGTTTAAAATGGCTAATAATGCTTGTAGCACCAGTTTACCATGCAGAAGAAGCCCTTATTTTGCAGCTAACAGAAGTTTATGACAGAAGGTGTCTTCTCTTTAGAAGACATGAACCTTATGTTAAATACAGGGACAGAGGATGTTTCACTGCCAGATACTAGGAAGGAAGGAAAATATCTTGGACTTTTATGTAAGCTATTTTGTGTGTGTGTCTCCAACCAAATGAAAAGGTTTCTCTTTTAAAACAAATATGTATGAATTCTGTACCACTCATACTGGAGGCAGGTTTTCTGAGGCAATCCAAAGTACAATCTGGGCCTTGTGGGACACAGTTTTCCTGTTTGAAAGTAAATTGCCAAAGTTTCAATAATTGCAGCAAAGCCAACATTATTTAGCTACTCCTTAACATCCTCTGTCTTCCCAGATCTCACAAAGCAGATTACTCATTTTTTGCTATTGCTGCTTTCATGTGTTAACTAGAGCAGTGGTTCTCAAATGGGGGTCTGCGGTCCCCTGAGGGTCCACAAGCAGGTTTCAGGGGGTCTGCCTGGTCTGGCCCGGTGTGGAGAGGAGCCACCCTGATACCCCAGGGCTGAGGCGAGTCCTGAGGAAGGGGCAGAGGTGGGTCTGCCCTGTCTGGCCCTACAGCTTCTATCTTGTAGGTGGTGCTGTGGGCTTCTCACTGCTGCTGCTCAGGTGAGTGTGTTCCTGAGGCTCACCACTGCTCAGCTCTGTCTGCTGCACCTGGGGCTGTGCAGGTGGGACTAGAGAGCTGGGGTGTCCTCTCCTGCGCAGGGAGCAGCAGAGGTGGGTAATGGAGTTTTTATAGCATGCTAAGGAGGGCTTCAGGAAGAAAAAGGTTGAGAACCCCTGAATCAGAGGATAATAAGTAGGACATATAGTAGGTTGCTCTGGTTTTTAAATTGGTTATCCAGACCCTCTGTGGGCTTCATGGAGAAATAATCTATAGTTGTGTGTTTTTATTTAGAATCTGGCAAGGTCTTCACATGGGGTAGAGCAGACTACGGACAACTTGGAAGAAGTTCAGTTCATGATGGACAAAGGCAGGAGGTGTGCAGAATATCTGAAGAGCATTCGGAGCAGTTACTTAATGTCCCAGTTCCCGTGCCTTGCCTTACTGGAGCATCTCAGGTAAGGGATATTGTGTCCTATTTCAAGCTTTAGAATTTCTCCTTTTGGACATGTGGGAATTAGAATAATCTCTGGATAAAACTCATTTAAAAATGCAGCAATAATACGTCCTGCTTCCCTTCCGATAATCTGAATGTAATTTAACTCTTATTTGGAATTCTTAGCCATTGTAGTCAGAAGCAAGTTTGTTCTTCGTAAGAAGCAGTGAAGAAAACTTGTAACTATTAGAAGCAAAAATACAGCTTCAAATTTATTTTGTCCTTTTCAGATGTCAAATGTGAAGGAGAAATAGTTGCTGCTATCACCCTGGGTAACAAATGAGATAGGAACTTAACCACTTGCACAGTTGCTTTTCTTGAAACAGTCTAGAAATGCTACAACATAACCAGTAGAAAGTGAAGTTACTCAGGGTGGCAAATAGACTCCCATTTCAATGGTGCTGATGATCTCAATGAAAACACTCCCATTGACTGTGACTTCACTGGGTTTTGTGTCAGGCCCTAAGTAAAAGAGACAGAATTTGGCAGAAATTGGACATAGCAGTGCAATCAGAGTGCTTTTATAAAGGGCAGTCAACTCATTTCTAAAAAGGGCTTGATGAAACATCTGTCAGATTCATGGGAGAAAGCTAAACAGTCAACAAATGACTTGGAAAATTCAATGCAGTGTATAGGAAGGGGAAGGGCCAATAGCAGGAGGCTTTGGAGCTGCTTGAAAGCAGGGACTCTGGGCAGGTCCTGTGAAGACCAATCAGTGAGCCCATAGAGCTCATGGCACATGTGGAGTTCCCAGCAGGACCTGCGCTGACATGCTGGTGAAGTCTGAAAGCTTGTTGACATCCAGGATGTAAAGGGTTGTGCTACACCCCCTTCAGCTGCGTTGCACATGTGCAATGAGCTCTTTTCACTGTGCATTCACCACACAGCTGAAGAGGATGTGGCCATACCCCTGCTGCCACAATTCTGGATCCATCTGTGGATCTACCCAGAAGATTTAAATCTTAATTTCAAGCATAAGTGGCAAAATATGTAGGCTAGCTGGGGTGTGTGTGTGCGCACATGTGTGTGTATGTGCGTGCGTGTTTGTGTAGACATGAATTTATAAATATATAAATATTCATGAATAGTATAAATACAAATTTTTGATACGGCTAACATTTGCCAACTCACTCTGTACTTAACACCGTTTCCACACAAAGTTAAACTGTTATAAAATAATATAAAATATTGAATATATTGAAACCCATAATAGCAGATGAGCTAATTAAAGGCTTCTGTGCTTTCCCTGATACTGTGTGGCATCCTTATTATGCAAGCTCTTGCCAGTGGTCATATGGCTGGTCTTCTCCTTTCTCCATCAAGGGTGCTGGTAATTGCTAATGTGTATTGCTAATATTCAACATGTCTTATTAGTCTCACCTTAAAATCTCCTTGTTTTCAAAGATTTGTGAGTGACAGGAATGTAGCTTGGTTCCATTTCATGTATTCATTTTAAATATTGTCCATGTGAATTATAGGTACATCTCATATTTGCTTTTTGTTCAAGTTTAAATAATAAACCAAAAGCAATACCAGAAGCTCCAGGTAATCTTAGAAGAATGCAATAATGATTGTCTAGCAGCATTAAAAGGCTCTGTTTTGTGTTAGCTTCAGTTCATACAAAGTTAATATCTATGACATATACAGTAATAAAGCCTCATATTTTAAAACTGTGAAACAGTTATATTGCAGATATGTATTCTTTTCTTCTCAGTGCATTGTTGGTGAGTGTCCACCTGGAATAGAAGTCACTGGGCATGTCTACATGAGATGTTTACTGTGGAGCTGATTAATTAGCTCCACAGTAAAGTCTCAGTGTCTACAAGTACTATCCTGGATGTGGAGTTATTTACTGCACTGCAGCACATGTGTAGATGCTGACAGGGCTGGCTGGGGGCATGAGAGTGCTTCAGTGTGGGGGTTACCTGCCAGCTAGCCCTGCACTGGAATACCATCATGCCTCAGCCAGCTCCTCTGCATCATGTTGAGCCAGGTTGGAGCAACCTCAGGCTAGAAGGCTGACCCCTGGCATCCTTTGCTAGCTGGGACTGCTCTGACCCGACTCAACATGATGTGGTCCTGGGCGCATGTGTAAATGCAGCGCCCAGGAGCAAATAAACTCAAACTGTGCTGGAGTATATTCAGTCACATTAATTGCACATGTAGACGTGCCCACTGAGAAAAACTGAACCCCTGGAGAGATCAGCTGTGTGAGGCATTATGTATCATGATTTGGTGTAATGTAGGGTGTCCTTGGTTTAGCCTCCATCTGACTCATTGGGTGTCTGATGTACATTTGTATCCGCTGCTCTTGAGATGAAAGGATGATTAAGTACAAATAGATTGAGACTTGATTAGATTCTCTGTCTAACAAATATTACAAAGACCTGGTTTAACATTTCCTCCTTGTCAAAATACATCCCGAGCTTGTTTGATGTTTTGATTTTAATAGCTCTCGTTTGTGATATGTTCAGTATGTCATTCCTTGCAGCAAACATTCACCACAAGCAATAAACCAACTAAGAAAAGGTCATTATATAGGACGTGAATATTCCTCACTAAATTGAAGGGAATAAGTGATCTGTTCCCTTTGGAAATGTAGTATTGCCATCATGTATAGCCATGTTCTGTCTTAGCCTGAATCTCAAGGAAACTTCTAGATGGTGGTTTTTTGAGCACAGAGCTCTTCAGTTTTGTAATGAAAAGCAAAATTAGCAATGAAGTGAAAAATGCTTCACTTTTTACACTGGGTATGTTGCAAGCATTACAGTTCTGTTGGGATTGTAATTCCACCAGTGGAAACACTAAGCATTCAAGCAATTTCTACTGGACCACAAATGGCAGGTCTGGTAGAAATTTCTGCCTCGTCTGACAAGGTAGACTTTCCTCCAGCAGAGCTTCTACCAGTTGTATACTTACTTGATAGATACAAGCTCCTGTGCTGTCCCAGTATGCAGTGCTCCAACTTCTGACTTCCCTCCAGAGAGATAGTCTGTGCCATGGTTGAACTCCACATCTCCAGCTCAGTCACAGACCAAACCTCTCCTCCTGTCAGCTTTGGGGATGAGAAAACCCAGCAGCTCTCCACTTTCCTGCAGCTGATAAGCCCCTGACCAGTATCTGGGATTTAAATGCTACCCTTTTTGCCCAGCTGGGGGCTGGGAACCAGGGTTGGAAATCTGTCACTGCTCACTTTCCAGACTGGAGCCCCCAGTGCAAAGAGTGGCCAGGGCTTGGCCCTGCTGATTTATTCCCCATAGGATCAGTTTGGGAGGGGAGGGAATAATGCTTTCCACCTCTTCCCTGGACCAGAGACTGCCTGGTTTGGGGAATAAGTTGAGGGAGAAGCTTCTGCCCTCCATGATACCAAGCTTTGGGGAAACGTGGGCATACTGGAGGATAGGGTCAAGATCCAGGATGACCTGGACAGGCTGGACTCATGGGCAAAATGGAATCAGATGAGGTTTACCAGGGATAAGTGCAAAGTCCTTCATCTGGGTAGGAAGAACCCTCACCACAACTACATGATGGGTGGTGGCCCACTGGCTGGCACAGCATCTGAGTGAAACCTGGGGGTTATGATCAACCAGAAGATGAATATGAGCCAACATTGCGATGAGGTTGCCAGGAAAGCAACTAGAACTCTGGTGTGCATCAGCCAATGTGTGTCCAATAAATCCAGGAAGGTGCTCTGCCCTCTTTATTTGGCACTGTTGAGGCCTCAGCTGGAGTACTGTGTCCAGTTCTGGGTGCTGCACTTCAAGAAGGACATGGATAAGCTCAAGAGGGTACAAAGAGCCATCTACGTGGTCAAGGGCATGGAGGATGGGCCGTATGAGGAGAGACTTGGA